CGTCTAAAATTGTTACAGTGCTGTTAGGAGCCTAAGAATCTCTGCCCAGTATCTGGTGGCCCTGCAGTGACACCCACATTATCCACTTACCTCTACTTATTTCCTAATATCAGAAATGGAGGATTAAAAGAGTAATGAAAACAAGAGACAAGAAGCAAAAATGTCATAGGACTATCCTGCTACAATGCTGCATATGGTTAAATTTCTAAATTTCTGGGTAAAAATAAAAAATAAAAAAAAGAAGTAGAGGATTAGTTTTACACCACATTAGAAAAAGTTATACAGGGTGAGATTGAACATATTTAAAAATGTAAATTTTTAAAGTTCTAAAATTGTACTGTAGTAAAAGATATTGTCATTAATTCCCCTAGGGTACTTCCTGTCTTTGAGCACTCTTCTCTACCACTGTTGCCACTTTCTGAAGCAGCTCTGTAGGTCCTCTCTTGTCAGTGTCCTTAGTCACATTGTTGGCTCTGCCTCGGTGTGCCGCCTTGATTCAGCACCTCTGCCTTCATGGTGCTTTTGACCCGCTGAAGGGCTGCAAGCTGAGTGGTACCCGATCCGGCGGCCAAGGTGGATGAGGACACATGGCGCTCTCCCACCAGCCTGCCTTTCCGTTAGCGGGCACAGCATGCAGGCGAGTTTTCGTCTCACATATCTCATGAAGATATGCCGGGAAACTTTCAAATCTTCAGAAAGTAGCAAAACAAACAAACAAGCAAACAAACTGGGATAAGTGTGTCTGAAACAAGGAAAGTATTCTCAGGGGGATTAGTGGCAATGTGTCATTTAATGCATATTTTAAAATAAACTTTATTTATTTATTTATTTATGTGTTTGTGTAGTCCAAGTCACTACACAGCTTGGACTCATCGTGATCCTCCTGTCTCAGCCTCCCCAGAACTGGGATTACAGACGTGGGTCACCATACCTAGTTTTGGTGACCAGCATGGCAGGCCTGGGGTTCTGAGGCCCACATGACATGTGGTACCAGGGATTGAACCCAGGTCCTTGTGCTTGCCAGGCATTCCCCCCAGCCCATTTAATGCATTTTTTAATTGAAAACACACAGGACTTTTTTTTATCAGCCTTATAAACTGTCAATCTAGATGGAACCTAGAGAAAAAAAAGTGGAAAAACCAATTGGCTCCCCTATGATAACCAAAACTGTCTAGAAAGAGAAAACTGAAAAATTCAGAGTCTGAGTGAAGTGGGTTCCAGTACAGTGGTCAAGACGCTACCAGAATAACAGAATCTTGATGTGGAGTGAAGTCAAATTGGTGCATAAAAGGGAAATAAAATACTGCACCACAACCCAGGAGGAGTAGGAGCCCAGGAGGGAAGATAAAATTTACTAAGCAGTTTATTGCTCTATTAATTGACTGTCACGGGCCTAGCAGCAAATCAGCAGCAGGGGTTCTGTAACGCACACTGTGGGCTCTGGTAGCGGTTGCGATCCTGACAAGTCTCCCCAGCAAGTGCACCTCTGAGGACACAAGCCACGTTCCGGTAGCTGAATGTCTGGCAGGACGCCGGCAAAGCTCTGAACTCAGACGATCTTCCAGGCATACAGGAACTGCTCACCACCAAATATGTTCTGCGCTGCCCCACTTGACCCACACTGTGGTCTATTCAGGTCATCAGGGAAGGCTTAGAGATCCTTCCGCAAAGGCTGGAAGAATTCCCAACTCAGGGATACAGGGAAACAATACTCAAAGTGGAGGACTTTCGTAAACTCCCTGCCTAGAGAAAAAGAAGTGGGGGCTCACCAGTCCACTTAGAGTTACTTAAGTATCCGCCTCCCCCTCGGCAAGCACTGGAGATCCAAAGGTGGAGAAGGTGGCACTTACAGCATGTGTGGGTTGAAGACTTAGGGTATAGTGAGTGCTTACAGCTCCTCTGCTTCACAAGCCTCCTTGACAATTGGATATAATCGGTTGTCATACTAGCAATCAATAATTTGTGATTGACTCAGAGCACAAGGCCATCTAAAATGAGATTTTTTTTCTCATATATTATACATTAAGGTCCTATTTATGATTGGAAATATATACATATATTATAATATATACATACATATAATATATATATATATAAATGTTATCGACCATATAGATTATTGGCAGTTATCTGTCATCCTTACAAGGTCGGTGTTGAGTTGGTGGACACACACAGCCAACCACGCTTAAATTACTTCAAACCCAGTTCCTGGGCAGCTCCTGAAGGGCAAAGGGAGAGTTATAGATAGAAATAAAACTGGAGCTTCTAGGTTCCAGTGAAGGGTGTAATCCTCAGAGATACACCGCCCACACGCCCGAGTCTTTAGCCACACACTCTGGCAGAGATCAAAGCCTTGAGAGGCCGTGTAAGGGGGAAACACTCACAGGGCACTCAGCTCTGGTCACTGGTCGCTGTGCCCAACTCCTCAGAGCTAACCTTTGTTGGAGAACTGCTTACGGAACGCATGCCTCAGTGCACATGCAGCTTGGCCCTGATTCCACACCAAGTCTGTTGCCAAATTTACTTGCTACCAACCTCTGAAGGAGGCCCTCAAACTTCTTTGGCAGAGAAATTTGGTACCTTACCCACAGTAATGTTTACTCATTTCCCTTTAGCATCAGAGCAGCCTTTGTGTGGCCACAGTGGGTTGTTCAATCTTTAGCCCACGCTCCAGGATCCCCTCGCTTCTTTTGATCCCTGCTGTGTTTCCTCTGGAAAGGCTTCCCTCATAGAATGGCTTGTAAAAACAAATCTTGATTTAGTAGGGAGAATCCTTGTTTGAAAGGATTATTGCAAGGGGGAGAGAAAGGCAATGCCCATGCCAGAGGCAAGCTATCATAACACGGAAAACACTGACCATAAGATTTACAAGTGCGCCAAGAGGTAGGTACAAGGAGCTTTGCTTTTATAGGTAGGAGTACGTGAGGCTAGAAAATGCCTGCTGTGTGGCAGTCAGATGACAGAGTGGCCTGGCTGGGTAGTATATCAAAGGGCACTTCTCCACGAAACCAGCCTGTTCCGGGGGGAGGAGGGATGGGAAGGAGATGTGTGCTGGCCAAAGCTCAGGAACCTGGGGAGGAAGAGAAGCCAAGGAGGCTGGGGAGATGGCTCAGTGGAATAAGTGCTTGCCTGGCAAGCTCAGGGGCCTAAGTTCAATCCCCAGTTCTGAAAAAAAAAAAAAAAAGGAGAAGAGAAGCTGAGGGGCAGGTTGTTGCTGCGATTGAGGAGATGAAATAAGCAGATCAGCTAATCGCTTGGGAGGTAAAGAATGAGAATCCCGGGGCCGGGGAGATGGCTCAGTGGAATAAGCGCTTCCCTGGCAAGTGCAAGGGCCTGAGTTCGATCCCTGGTTCCGCAAAAAAAAGATTAAAAAAAAAAAAGAAGAATGAGAATCTGGAGGTGGCAAGCCTGGCCTTGTCACAGGTAACTGAATGGAATATATGTATGTCTTACAGGAGTCATTCAGGAAGCGTAGTTTTCTTGGTAAAAAGCTGTTTCCAAAATGCAGTGCGATGGAAGGATTTTTTAACCTTTGCTATTTTCCAGGATCACAGGACACAAAGTTCAAAATTGCCCACAAGCCCTAATCAAGGACCACCTGACATAGATGGTGCCATTATAAAGCAGAAGTTTTATCCGAATTTGGGAAGGTGGCAAGCTCTGCCTTCCCAGTAGCTTGTATTGAGTGTCATAGATAATGACTGGCCCTGGTAAAAGGAACCTTACTGATGCAAGTCAGACCACAATCAAATGGAAGTAACATATAATTCTACCCCATTTTTCTGTGCCTCTACCTAGTAGCCCAAATGACCTGGAAAATCGCATTCTGTGATGTCCCCTTGGTGATCAGCTGAGATGCCCCAGCCATGGCTCATTCTCTGCAGTAGGTTCTTGGGCATCTATTAGTTTCTACTCTGGAATCATGTGTGACACGAGGTGAGCAGAAAATAAAGAACCAAAAGGGGCTTTAGCCTTAAAGGTAAGGTCTACGGGACAGCAGCAGAGAGGATCGAAGTCCAGACTAGGACCTTCCCACTAAAAGGAAAATCACATTGTATTCTTTTGTAAATCTTCCTAAGGTAAATCTCGAGCTGCAGGGAGCGCATCTGCCTGTGGCTGAGAAGAAGCCCAGCAGCCTACCTCTTCCTCTTTTTTTCCCACAAACTCCAGAATAGCAAAGCAGTGGACAGATTCTGGAGACAGGCTCTGGCCTAGGCTTCTAGAACACTCACACTTGGAGAAGAAAGCGCTTCACGCGAAAGCAGTATGGGGTCAACACACCATTAACTAATCCACCAAGGTTCGACACGCGCCTTTCAGAAACCCTTTACTACTTTGCCTCAACCTAGCAGGTTAATGAAAGAAAGTAGGATAAAGCACAAATAGATCTTAGAAGCATTAACCTACAACATTTCTCCATCTATGATTGTTTAACAACTAAGCTGTTACCATATAATCTGAAACAAAAGAAATATTGCCTATTCTGCATTAAAATCAGGTTCAAGCTCTATATTTGTTAAATTCAGCATTCTGTTGGAAAAATAGCACACAATAATGAACACCAAAATGATAAAAATAAAACCTGTAAGTTGAAACTGACTTTATTCCTATGAATAATATGCATAATTTCTAATTGATTTGTATCAAGCAGGAGTCATATATTCTACAGCCATGTTTATCTATGTATGACCATATTTTACATGACATATGGAAACTAATACAAGGCTTCACTAATACTTGTGGCCTTTCTCTTGCTAAGGCTTAGAGATATTCAACACTCTAAAACATAAGCATTTATAACTACGTATTTTACATTGTACTCTCATTCTTAATGCTGCCAAGATTATTTAGCATAACTAACTTTTTAATCATGTCCTCTTTTCTCTGTTAACATTAGCATATCAATCAAATTTGCATTATTCTGCTTTGCTCATTTTATTAAAAGCGAATTCAGGGCACAATTGACTTTTCATTTGTTTAACAAGTGAAGAAATATTTACCCTGACAGCCATCGCATTGTAGAGATCCATCTTCATAGTATAATATGCTACCTGGGAATCAAGGGGGAAAAAAGATGGCATACATTTCAGTTACACAAAGACAGTGAAGCCTGTTTTTACATATAAAAGATAAGAATCTTTATACATAATACATAATAAGAGTTCTGGGCTTAGAAAAATGAAATCAAACTTTGCATTGAAGAGATGGGCTTCCTAATACATAATGCAAGCTTAACCAGGAAAATCTATGGTAGTCAAACCAGGAGCTAATGGAGATATATGATCATAAAACGCTCTCCGCTGAGCTTGATAATCAATGGTGCTCTACTGAGAATAGAATAACAAAGCAGAAATATTCACAAGTGCTGGTGACACGTGGTATTGTATGATTTATTCACTGGGGTTCTTTTAGCCAAAACTCACAGAAACATAAAAGGAATTCATATTTCAAGACGTCTGGTTTAATGAAAAATTCAACGAAACGCTGTCTTCAGTCGAAATCGTTCAAGGATACGGACACAGCGATGGAGTGAAATTGTGCCTTCCAACCATCTATGCAAAATGTTATGTACTTAGCTGCCTCCTGAGTAATCCTTGGGAATTTTGTTTCATTTAATATTCATTTTAACACCATAAAATCATAAATACAATGATACAGTGTTACGGCAAATCCCTGGATGTAAGTGAAGACTTCCGAAAGTCTGTTTCCTTCTTTTAAAGACACACTTCTCTATCAACACAAAAAAACACCCTGAGAGCAAATAATTGTTTAGCAATGTGGCTGATTTCAATGAAAATATGGATTTAAATAAAGCTTCCACATCTGTTGTATCATTTAATTAAAAATGCAAAATGAGCATAATTCATGGCTGCATAGTGAACAGTAAGAGTAATGAACAACATCATTTTCCAACAAAATACACAACTTCAGAAGTCATTCAACTAAAATAACTTTAGCTCAGATACTCAGCGTTATTTCAGGCAAAAATGAAAAAAAAAAAGCCTCAATCCTTTATCAGGGGATTTTTCTTCTCTATAACAAACACAAATTCACATAAAAGGGTTTCCTTGTAATTAGTGCTGTTTGAGTTGCCTGCTCTAATCCAAAGCAAACTGTCTGTGGAGAGCTGCAGTACGGTGCTGGATTATTTATCAACAGGCTGAGTAATTAAGAAACAGTTTGCTGCAATATGTTATTTACAAATGAACACAATGGTGTCACTTCATTTCAAATTCTCTCTTCTATATTAAGCAAGACATAGCTCTTGGAATTTGAGGTGATTTGAAATATTTACTTTAATAATTATATTTCTTCAAGGCATATCAAAGCAATTCAGGCTTTAAATAGTTTTCTAAAGAAAAACATACTAGAAATTATAGGATCCTAAGAGTTCTGGCTCAGCAAAACACTCCCTGCCTTCATCACACCAATATTTAGGTCAAAGGAGATAGTCGATGCAAGCGGGAGACCTCAGTTCTATCTCTGGCTTTGTTGATAGCAGCTGTGGCTATGAGAAACCTACTTTGAGTCTCTAATCTCTCAGTCTTTCAAAACTTTTTAAAAATTTATTTATTTATTGGATATAGGGTCTTGGTACACAGCTCAGACTTGTAGTGATCCTTCTGTCTCGGCCTCCCCAGCACTGGGATTACAAATGTGCACCAAAATGCCAGTTCAGGACCAGCACTGCATGCAGTACCAGGGATTGAACTTGGGTCCTTGCACTTGCCAGGGAGGCACTTAGACCACTGATCTGATCTCCCCAGCCCTAGTCTCTCAGTCTTGATTTTCCTGATTAGAGAAGAGTACATTACATGCTTTACTGAACTGTTGTGAAGACCAAAATGAGATAAAGCCATTAAGGCACTTGGAGCAGAGGTGACATTCATTATGAAAGGGATTGTCAGTTGTGTTATACTGAAAGTACATAAAGCAACCCTAAGTAAAATTCTGAAATGTACAAAGGCCTACATTGTATTACATCATAGGCTACTGGGAAAGAGAGAGAGCTCAGGAGCCTCAGAACTCAGAAATCCATGTGTGGAGATGGAAAGGAACCTTGATTCTGATGCATCAATCTCAAGTGAACACAAGTGAATAATTTATTCTCTACTTTCTCACCCAGATGCTTTTGAAAATACCCCAAAATATATAGTGTAGTGTTCTGTGCTTCTACTCACACAATGTACCCACAATAGTCAAATCCACAGACAGAAAAGAGGACAGTGGTGGCCCGGGCTTGGGAATGGCCAGTTGGTATTTAATGAGTATGGAGTTTCGAGTTGCAATGACTGAAGAGTTCTGGAAGTACAGTGGTGGTGCTTGTGTGACAATGTGGGGATATTTAATACCACTAAATAGTACAGATACAATGGTCAAAACTGCCCATTTTATGTGGTGCTTTTATACAATGGTGTATTACTCAGCTACAAAGAATATTAAACCCCATGCCTTCATATATACGTGGATGCAACTTGAAGATATACTCATTAAGTGAAATAAACCAGACCCACACATGTAAATATTGAATTGCCTCCCTAGTGTAAGAACTCAAAAGAAGAAATAAAAATTAAAAGGTCTAACACAATTAAAAGGAAAGTGAGAACTTAAGGATTAAACAATGAAGAGAAGGCAAGGAGAAAACCTAGGAAATATGGCGGGGCAAAGCCACACGTTTATATACACAAGGTGGTTAAGGCAATGGTCCTAAGAATCTCCATCCAGTTTTTGAAACTAGCAGTTAATTGGTAGAAATCTCACCCTGACTAACTCTATATGCTGGTATCCATGAACTAAGCAACTACACTGAAGATAGCAATGTGTAATACTAAAACCATGATTGGAATGTCTATCATTCTGGTCTTCTAAATGCATACTGCTTCTAGTGTCATATCTATTATTGCTAAACTCGCCCTCAAGTAAATGTTTGTTTTTAAAAAAAGGTAATAGACCGGGGAGATGGCTCCATGGAATAAGCGCTTCCCTGGCAAGTGCAAGGGCCTGAGTTCAGTCCCCGGTTCCGAAAAAAAAAAAAAAAAAAAAAAAAAAAAGTTAATAAAAGAAAAAGAGAGACTAGAAAAAAAAAGTCATAGGATTGTCCTGCTACAATGTTGCATATGATTAGATTTCTAAATTTCTGTGTAAAAATGTGTAATTGTTTTTTCACATTCTATAGGGATTTAAAGTTTAGAATGTCTATGACTGTTGGAAAATACCTGTTCCTTGTTATGTCTAAGGCGTTTGACATTCAGACAGATAGTGATGTTAAGTTCAAATGTCTATGTTATAGGGTAATAATATCATTAAGATTCTCTTCTGAAGAGTTAACAACTTAAGTTTGCAGACCAAAAAAGTAGAGAACAAGAAGGGCTACAAGGATAGCCAATATTTTGGCCCAAGCCCTTCAAGGTCAGTGAGGACTCAGGACATAAGAGAACCTGTACTGTAACATCCTGTAACTCAGTGGTGTTCCAAATTTTCTATTCAACGAGATTATGGGGCCACAGAGCAAAGTGAAAAATGATGTATAGTGTACCTAAGGAGAGTCACCTAGAGAGAAAACATTCTCTCAGGCTTTCACAGAGAGCAAATAGGTCAAGCAATGGCTGTGATTCATCCACATGACTGACACTGACAAAGATCTACAAACTGCAGTACGGTTTCAGGATAAATCCCGAGGAGATCTGACTGACCTTGTCAGATACAAAAGTTACATTTCTTGTTATATAGGTCTTTCTTAATCTTGGTCTTAACCATCCAACAGAAAAGTAGAAACATGTAGTACAAAAAGTAAAATCATATTAATATGCTGAGCTATAAAAGGCTTAAGTCAACAACTTCTGACATTGTCAGTTCTACGGATAATCCACTACTATTATGGACTATTGGACTACATTGGGTTATTTTGCTGAATTCACGCACCTGCAATATTTGAATGAAACACCCATCTCTGACAAAACAAAATTAAAAAGGGGGATATAATTGAAGAAACACCTTGTAGTGAAAAAATTATATATATATATATATATATATATACACATATGTATATACAAATAGTTAGGATAGATATACAGTTACTTTTTCTTAGTGTAATGAGAAGAAAGAATTGTACTAATAGTGTTTAGATAAGATATCATGTCTGCATCTTGCACTAGGAATAACTTGTACAAAGACAACAATATGCAATGTATTAATTATTGTAACTGTCCTTCTAACCTGTTTTGGAACTGTCTCATTGCTACTTCTTTCTCATTAAAATTAATTGAAAAAATTTTAAAAATTGTCCATTTTATTTTATGATACTTTTAAAATCACTAAAAATAGGTGGCTATGGCCTGTGCATTTCTATAAACTAAAGACATGTAGAGGTACATTAAAATTGTGTACAATTTCATTTAAGTCTTTTTTTCCACCTTGAATAATGATATTATATGTTATAGTAATGTTTATCCTTTGTCATATGAATAGTTAAAATATGACTCATACAAAAGCCCATGTTTTAAAATTACTTTCTTTCCTAAAAGATTTTTCTTCTTTATAGTTGTGCAGCATTAGGTAGACATATGGTAGCTACTCAATATTAATAGCATGTCCAAAATGACAATGGTATTGAAGTTTCTCAGAAGACAAAATTTGTGTTTTCCTCACACCTAATGAGTGAGTACAACAGGGCAGAGCTTGACCTCCACTGTTTGTCTGTATTCCTTTCTAACTTAAACTTTGGGTAAGCCCCTGCCCAGCTCTGCAGGTAGCCATGGCAACTGGAAACACAGGTTGAGCAGTTCTGAATGTACATGACCCATCGCATCCACCTTCAAGACTAAGGAACTCAAGTGAGAGGTTGACAGAGACACCCAGCTACCCAAGGGCACATGAGGGCTCTGGCCATTCCCCCAAGTCTGTGGTCATTGTGCATGGCAGCAGAGAGGGCCTTCACAGCACCACAGCTAATCTGAACAACAGCAGTCACCTCACGGAGACTAACCCGTCCCCACAAATGAAAAGGACTGCTCTGAAGTTCCTTGCAGAACCAGAACTAAGGTGAGGACCA